TTATGAACATGCTCTAGAATTCTCCTACCATGCAAAACAAATAAATCACAAAACATATAAATCCAAGCTAAATCATGTTACTTGATCTTGTACTTTTTTTTTTGAACGGCAATCAAATGTTTATTTATATATAATAAACGGAGTACAAGGGGTACCCCAAACCCATAACAATACTGTTAGACAAGTCTAAAATACCCTGAGTGAAATAGCAAAGTGTCGACCCCTACTAAAGGTGTCGACACTAGACTCGTGACGAACTTCAGAGTACCGATGCTTAATCTTCACATCTCCCTGTACAGAACATCAATCTTCCCTAAAATGAGTTTCACTGGCAATCACAACATTGAGCATGCATTGACTACTTCTACTTTAACCCACTCAATCCATGAAGGAGTAGACTATAGTCAAAGAGCTGCTCAAAGTAGCCATCATGACCCAACTCCATTTCAATATACTAAGCAAAATTATACAGCCTTATAACTCCTCATCAGACCCTCTTTTTCCGACCAGCATGGAGACTTTTAATACATTCTACTGGGTTAATTAGCCAATCAGTGAATGTAAAAGCATACCTGTCCAGTTTTGCTGTACACCATTGGAAGGATCGCACTTGTATGATTTCTAGCAACTTTCTCGGGTCAGTTTTTTTATCTTGGAAAATCATTTGATTCCGAGCAAGCCACACTGTCCAGATTACAGTACTCCAAATGCAATCCCAGCCTTCTTTTACCTTTGGATCTTTGCTCCATTTCCCAAACCTCTGAAATGAATTCCAGCAATCCCTTTCCAGCCTAACCTCTGTTCCCCACCATTTAGCGCATTCTTGCCACACCCAACTGGTTATTTTGCATTTCAGAAATAGGTGTTTGGAGTCTTCATCTTCCTCCTTGCAAAAGACGCATTTGCCATCTTCTGCTTCTCCAATAATCCCTCTAATAACCAAGTTGACTTTTGTTGGGATTCTGTCGAGCAAAAGTTGCCAGTTGAAGGCTGAGACTTTACTTGGAAATTTGGGATTCCATATTCTTTTGTATGTCGATATCTCATTTGTTTCTATCTGATCTTTTGTTAGGATTGAGTATGCTGTCTTAGTGGAGTATTGCCCATCCTTGTCATGGACCCATTCCCACGAGTCTGGCCTTCCTTGCTTGATTTTCTTGTCTTCTATCAATTGTTGGAGTTCCTTTGCCTCTTCGTTCTCCCATTCAAATAGCTTTCTTCTCCATTGGAGGTTCCAGCTCCATTGTTCATTTCCTTCGTTTCCCATTTGGTGGCACTTGTTGTCCTTTCCTGTGGATATCAAATACAGTCTAGGGTATTTATTAGCAAGATAGCCCACCCCGCACCAATTATCCCACCAAAAGCTCACCCTCTTACCATCCCCAAGCTTTATTCTAAACCCTTCCAACAGCCATCCTACTCTCTCCCTATCCATTTTATCAATGCAGCATACATCCCTCCACCATGTAGAGCCTAGTCCTTCTCTTTCTTTAATCCAGTCCAGCCAATGTCCCCCCCTCTCTCCATACTTCCCTATAATTACTCGCTTCCACAACCCCTCCTTATTTTCAGCAAGACGTCCCCACCATTTGCCCAACAACGCCAGGTTAAATTTCCTCAACTCCCTCACCCCCAACCCGCCTTCCTCCTTTTTTTTACACACCTTATCCCAGCTGACCCACTTTATTTTTCTCTTTTCACCCCCACCCCCCCATAAAAAACTTCTACGAATTTTATCGATAGAGTAGAGTATACCTTTCGGGATTAAGTAGACTGACATGAGGAACACAGGCAGGCTAGACAGCACTGAATTAATGAGCGTGATACGGCCTCCCAAGGATAAAAACCGACCCTTCCAAGTAGTTAGTTTTTTTTTGAATGAATTCACCATTGGCTGCCACATTGCCACTCTTTTATGATTTCCTCCAACTGGGATCCCCAAATATTTGAATGGAAGCTCCCCTTCTTTACAACACAGCCTGAACGCCATCTTATTTCTCCAATTGTCTTCAACCCCGATCCCCATTAATTGGCTCTTCCCGAAATTAATTTTAAGACCAGATACCAACTCAAAAGTTCTCATTATACTTTTAATGACCCCGATATTGTCCTCCGATGCCTCTCCAAAAAAAATCGTATCATCCGCAAATTGAAGGTGTGACACTGAGACTCCTTCATTCCCCACTGCCACCCCTTTATACAGCTGTTTCTCCACTGCAGAGGATACAAGCCCATTTAATCCTTCAGCTACTAATAAAAATAGGAAGGGTGATAGCGGGTCGCCTTGTCTTATCCCCTTGCTAACCGGGAATTGATTTGTTGGGCTTCCGTTAATGAGAACTGAAACCGAGCTCGATGCTAGACACTCCCGTATCCAATTTCTCCAGGTTGTACTGAATCCCATTCTCCTCATCATATAATCGATGAAATCCCAGCAGACATTGTCATAAGCTTTCTCAAAATCCACTTTGAACAGGAAGCTCTTCTTCTTCTTTTTCTTAGCCTCATCAATGACCTCGTTCGCTATCACAACTCCATCCACTAGCTGTCTACCCCCGATGAAAGCCATTTGCTGTTCCCCGATGATTTTTGGCAGCACTTTCCGAAGGCGATTTGCCAGCAATTTTGCTATAATCTTATACATGACCCCAATGAGCGAAATGGGTCTGAATTCCTCTATCCTTTGTGGGTTCTCAACTTTTGGAATCAAGACAATGAAGGATGCATTCGATCCTCTTGCAAGCCGTCCGAGCCTATGAAACTCTTGTACAAACTCGATAATCTCTGCTTTGATGTCTCCCCACATCTCCTTAATAAATCTGAAGTTGAAACCGTCTGGGCCTGGGGATTTTGATGAACCGCAATCCCATATAGCTTGTTTGATTTCCACTTCAGAAAATGCAGCTGTTAGGAGATCATTGTCTACCCCAGAAATCTGGTTGAAACTAATCCCATCCAGCCTTGGTCTTTGCCAGTTTTCTTCTGTAAACAGTTTTTCAAAGTGTTCTGCTACTGCTTTTTTTATTCCCAGAACCCCAGAGTGTTGAACTCCCTTTATCTGGATGAAGTTGATTTCATTTCTTCTGTTTCTTCCCTTCACACACCTATGGAAGAACTTTGTGTTCGCATCCCCTTCTTTCAGCCACGCCATTCTAGACTTTTGCTGCCACATTCTCTCCTTGATTCTCAAGTGCTTCCACAAATCTAAAAAGCAATTTCTTCTATTTTCAATGTTAGTATCAGACAATGTGCTCTTCTCTCCTTGTTCATCAATTTCTGCTATCATCCCTTCAGCTTCACTTATTTTTCTATCCACATCTGCCATTGATTTGCTGCTCCAGTCCTTCAGTGCCTTCTTGGTCATTTTCAATTTCTCCTTTAGCTTATATCCCTTCCCTCCATTTATTTCCCTTGAATTCCATGCTGTTCTGATAATCTCCTTGCATTCTGGTATCTCCAGCCAAGCATCAAAAAATTTAAATGGTTTTGGGCCCCAGTCAATCTTCTCCTCCTTCAGTAAAATAGGACAGTGATCCGACACCGATCTACGCAAACCCCATTGTTTCACATCTCCCCATACTGAAAACCAGCCTTCCGAAATCAAGAATCTATCAATTCTACTCATGAATTTTCCATTAGAGTTATACCACGTAAACTTTCTACCCACCAGTGGTAAATCAATTAACCCAGCATTGTGAATAAAATCATCAAATTCTTCCATCTCTACAGTCATCCCTTTACATCCTGCTCTTTCTTCTATACTTCTTACAGCATTAAAATCTCCTGCAAGGCACCAATTTCCATTTCTACTCAAAATTAAACGCTGCAGTTCCTCCCACAAGGCTCTTTTACCCGTCACTTGGCAAGGTGAGTAAATATTCAAAATGTGCACCAGTATTTTGTCCTCTCCCCATACACCAGTCACCCCTATAAAATTGTCACCCTCGATCACCTCTACCAATTTTAATACCTTAGGGTTCCAGACACACAGCAAACCACCCGACATACCCACTGCTGGTTTTGAAATCCACTCCATGTCATCCGTACCCCAAACCCCTCTGCATATACAATTATCTACAACTTGCAACTTCGTTTCTTGTATAGCTAAAAACTCCACTTTTTCCTTCTTAACTAACTCCCTAATTTGCCTTCTCTTCCCAATCCCTCCAAGACCCCTAATATTATAGGACAACAAGATCATCAATATCAAGACATACCTTCCTCGCCTCTCCAGAACCGTGAGTTGTCTTCTCTGCTTTGTCTCGGCTGTCTCTACTCTCCATCTCTTCAATTCTTTGAATGATCTCCCTATCATCCTCGGCCACTGCCCCTAGCTTTTTCGCAAGGTCCCATATCTCCACTGCTAAATTATTCTTCATTTGCTTCTTCAACCATCTATTGCAGTTCTGGATGCCGCTATCACCTACTGAGTCGCCTGCAAACTTTCCCTTTGATCCGGGTAGGAAGCTTGGCTCGGATCTCTCCTCTGCATCTTGTTTGCACTGTTTTCTTCTTCCTTTCTTTAATTTGGGACCCGTACCCACTGCTCTTGATTTAGCATACACGGAACTACACATCTTGATCCTTCTTTTCTTCTTGGTTGAACCCTCCTCTCCTTGCTTCTTGATCCACTCTTCTATGCCTCTTTGTTCTTCTTCAAAACCGTTCCAGAACGCGTCCCCCTCTGCACCGTCCAAGCTGTTCTGTTCTACCTCCTTGTTTCTAGAATAGCCATCAATAATTGACCGACTTTTTATTTCCTTCCCTTTTTGTGTTTGGGTCCAGCCCAAATTTATTGATTCTTCATAATCGAAATTTTCAGCTTGAGGATTGAGCTTTCCCCCTGTTTCCGTCGGATCCTGCTTGCTAAGGCCCAGTTGAGAGCTGCCTTCTGTCCGTCTGGATTTAACGCCCAGGCCCAACTTTATGCTGTCTTCTTTCAGCTCGGACTGCTCACAAAGGCCCAGATATTCTCCCTCCACAACGCCCAACCTTCCTGACACAGCAACGTCTCTCTGCAGCAGCCGCGCCTCCTCTGTTCCTACTCTACACTCAACCTCTTTCAAATTTTGAATGTGTTCCAGGCTGTTTTCCTCTGTGTTGCACTGTTTCCCCTTCCCCGATGTGTCTTGTTCCCGAGGTTTCTCCATTTCCCTTCTTTGCCAGCCCGCCACGTCATCATCTTCTTCCTGGAGATAGCTTCCATTCACCTGAGCACACTCCTCTGCAAATACAGACCCGTGTTTCTCCCTCTCGCTTTCGGTGGACCATCCTTCATTCTCTTCGGAATCACTTTGGTATGCTGGGAAAAAGTCATGTTTTAGGGAAAAAAAACTATTTGTAAACTCCTCTTCAGTGAATTTCAGATTGTATTTTCTCCCATTGATTTGTATTTGGCGCAGAACTGAGATTGTATTGCTAATTGGAGTTGAGATCAAGAATCTTGCTATATCAAATCTCACTTTTTTGCTTGTGTTATCATCTAAACAGATGAATTTTCCCCAAGAGCAGGCCATTTTTGCAAAGAAGTCCAGCCCCCATACATTTAAAGGTGCCCCTTGGCATCTAATCCACACGAATCTCTCCTCTGTTACTGATTCCGGTGTCCACGGGTGCACATCTTTAAACCATTGACTTAGCCAATCAGAGGCCATTTCCACAAGATCCTTCAGTTCTTCTTTCTCCTCACAATCTAACAAGACCATCTTCCCCCCCATTGCTCGAATCCGACAGGAAAAATACCCCTCCATGTAAAATTTCTCCTGGAGATTTCGAACCATCTCAACGGAATGAACCGTTCCTACATAGCACCCTTTAAGCCATTCATAGTCTTCTGGTTTTGTATTATACTCCATTCCCTCCCACCTTTTTCCTATTCCTTTTTTCTTCCAAACTTTCCTATTTTCGGAGCTTCCATGTTCAGTCTTAGTTTTGATTCTACTGCTTGTTGGCCTTCTTTCGACCTCTTGATTAAGCATCTGATCGCTCCCCTTCTTCGGTCTGCTCTCCTGTACTCCACGCACCACTTCTGCATAACTTCTGTCTTGCTTTTTTGGGGCAACATCATGATACTCCCTCCGCTCCCCTTCTTTTTTCTTCACATCATCATATCTTGGTGTGTTCACCCATAGCTTTTGGCTTCCAACCCAGATCTGATCAAGTTGCATTTCCAGCTCCCTTCTGTTCCTAACATCTAAAAACCTCACGAACCCAAATCTACTCCCATTTCTGCTTCTTCTGTTAGGACTATAAATGTCATACACCCTTCCAAATTTTCGAAAAGTTCTCCACATGTCTGCATAGCTCCAGTCATCCGGAAAGTTAGAGAAAAAGTATGGTGTGGCTTGCTTGTATAATCCTTTGTCATAAGCACCCTCGTTCTTCCACATCCGAGTCTGGTTCTGATCGTGATGCCTTTGCCTCCGTTCCACTGTTTCCCACCTTCTGGTTCTACTTCTACCCCGAGACCCTGCACGCTCTTGATTCAGTGTCGTCCGCCTTGCTAGTGACCGTCGTCCGTCGACCACCCCTCTCTCTCTCTCTCTACCTCTCTCTCTCATACTGCGGTGTGAATATTACTTGATCTTGTACTTGTCATCCTTTCTTGACAGCTTCCTTTCATTCACTGCCCTGGCACAATTAATCCCGCGGGTTATGGAACTAATCATGA